TTTTTCCCCCATTTTGTCTCTCATAGTTGAGGTATACCTATGATGAGTGACCAAATACTTATTTTCCACCATGATTTGCAAATAAATTCTTTAAAAATCAGACAATGTGATTTTCTGGATTTTTTCCCCCATTTTGTCTCTCATAGTTGAGGTATACCTATGATGACCCCATTTTGTCTCTCATAGTTGAGGTATACCTATGATGAAAATTACAGGCCTCTCTCATCTTTTTAAGTGGGAGAACTTGCACAATTGGTGGCTGACTAAATACTTTTTTGCCCCACTGTGTGTGTGTGTGTGTGTGTGTGTGTGTATAATCCCAATGTCTTCTACTGTCTTTCCCGAATCCAATTCTCTCCCACTTTTCTTGTTTTCCCAGCCATTCCATACTTTTCATTTTCCCCCAGCCATCCCATTTCATTATAGATTATAGAAAGGTCTTCAATTATGTCAAGCCATGGAACATGCTTAGAAAAATGGGAATCACAGAACATCTCATTGTCCTTGTGCAAAACCTATAGACAGGTCAAGAAGCCATAGTATGGACAGAACATGGCAAAGCAGACTGGCTCCAAGTTGGCAAAGAGGGCAGCTGGATTGGAAGAAGATAAGCATGGTTTTAAAACTGGAGAAATAAATATCAATAATCTGCACAAGGCTGATGACACAACTCTGATAGCTGAAAATGCAAATGATCTGCAAATCATTTGGTAATGAAAGTCAAGAAGCACAGTGAAAAAATGGGATTAAGATTAAATATAAAGAAGACCAAACTAATGATAACAGATACAGCAAACAGCCTTAGAATTAAGAGTGAAGATATTGAAGCAGTGGATTGTCCCTTCTTTTTAGGATCAGCTATCAACAATAAAGGAACCAGCAATCAAGAAATATGCTGCACACTAATACTTGGTAGAATAATAATGAAGGCCTCGGAAAATATATTAAGATGCGCTTTTTTGATTAGAGAAAAGGCATTAACTACATTTGTTAGTGACTGGAGACCTTTTATAGATTTTTTTGCTAAAAACAGAAAAAAATGAACTTGTGATTTATGAGTTTGATGATTAGAAAAGGTAGAATATGGAAAGAAAGGAGCCATGATATAAACTTAGGATAAAATATAAATGCATTTATAACTGATATAAAGAAGATTGGAAGCCACTTCTTTGTATCTTTATTTTATTTTCTCTCTCTTTTCTGTCTCTTTCTTTTCTTAATTTCTTATTTACTTATCACTTTTCTTTTACTTTCTTTTACTTTTACTTTCCTTTTTCTTTAAATCTGTATTGTTTTTATTCTGTAAAAATTTTCTTTAATAAAAATCAATTAAAAAGAAAAAAGAAAAGATATTCAGATGCCAGTGTCTGTCTATACCTACGAAGATTAGAACTGTGCAGCAACAAATGGATGGTCAAAGAGATCGCCTCAGAGCTCTCACTTAAGCTTGAACGGCTGGGTCACATTATGTGAAAACCTAGACCTCTGGAGGTCTATAATGCTGGGAAAGGTAGCGGGAAAGAGAAGAAGACCACCACCAGCAGCAAGGTGAATGGACTCAATTACAGCGATGATGGGTGCACTGTTGGAAGACCCGAAGGACCCAGCTGGGGACAGATTCTCTTGGAGAAAATCCATATAGTTGCTAAGAATCAACAACTTGATAACACATAATCAATAAGTCAGTTGAGGGAAACGATATGCAATCTGGCATAAAATATAACATTAGATTATACTGCAGGGCTGTTTATGGCTATTCCTCCTCTTTGCCTGTACCTATAAATTACTGGAAGAGAGTTCTCTTTCTTCTATTGTCCTCTTTGAATGCATAAGAGAAATGTTTATGGCACCCTACAGCTATGCTTTCATGATAGGTAATGCACCTCCTTGAGGTACTGCTTTCTGTACATGATACAGGTCTTGGTGCCAATTACAACCAAAACATGGTAGAGGCAAGGTGAAGAGGGAAAGAAGTAGCTTATCAGGGTCTGGGATTTGTTTTTGTTTTTTTCAGTAAGAAAAATGTTAAGGGCAAAATGTAGTTTTTTATGGAACTGTATTTTCCCTGTCTTTATCTTTTTCCCTGTTACCTACTACCCAATCCCGCTAGATTAGGCAGAAGAAGAGTTATAGCAAAACAAGGAGGATTTTAAGTAAAGTTTCTCATTTAGACCCTTCTCTCTGAACTGGGACCATATGTATATGTAGTTAAACGAAGACTGGTATTTTGAGAGAGGTTAAGATTTGTGCTTCACTGACAAGAATTGCCAGTCCCCAAATTTCTTGCAGAGGGACAGATTGGAGGACTGCTGATGTTACAGAAATCTGGAACCCACAATCCTCCTCCCAATAATTTTTAGAAAAAGAAAAGTATAGGATATTGTATTCTGTGTTTTCCAACTCCTCCTCCACTTTTGAGGCTGTCACCTGAAGCAGGAAAGGGCATGCTGTACAAAAATTGTATCATGCCATGTTTCTTCTTTTTCAAAAGTTAGAACCATTTCCAAGCTATATATCAACCACCAGGCACCACTGCTTAACAGTGGTTTATGGCCTGAATCATTCCTTGGCACAGTGTTAGGTTTTCTTAATGCCACATCCTTGACATGCCCGTTGATTAAAACAAATATTTCACCTCCTTTTTCCAGCGTTGGCCAAAGACAGCTTGTATGCTTGGCAAGAGCTCTCCTCCGCAAAACAAGGATACTTATTCTGGATGAAGCCACAGCAGCAATTGACCTTGAGACAGATGATCTCATTCAGATGACAATAAGAACACAGTTTGAAGACTGTACTGTGCTAACGATTGCTCATAGGCTGAATACAATTATGGATTATACCAGGTAGTTATTTGAGGGTCAGGGAGAGGGAGTTACTATAGTCTATCAGAATTACATCTCCTTTTCCAGGCTTTTTCTGCAGTTGAATACCAATCTTGAATGTTTGTATCGTGTGTTGGGCAATTGGGACAGATTGGGGATTTGGTTAGTGAATGGCCCATCCCACTGCCTATCAGTCTCCCTGCTTGGGATGATAGACATGGTATCCTCCTGGACAGGCTGTTAGAGTTGGGATGTGGGATCAGTGTGCCACACAGTTTGGGGGTGCTCTTAGATTCATCATTTATCATTTCAAAGACAGTTAAATATTGTTCACATATCTCCAACCGTTAGTGCTTTTAAGAATGCTTTTAGGACTCTGTATTCTAATATATTCCTGCCCTCCCCAAAACAGGAAAAAATATCATGTTTTAATTAATCCCACTATTGGATCAGTAAGGAGGCTTACAGTTCTTCATTTGTTCCTCTTTGGGAACAAATCTGTAAAGGCCAAATGGTTATTGATGTTGGATCAGTTGGATCATGTCCACTGCCAACTTCATCAGAAAGGAGATGATTTGTATCATCCACTCAGAAGAAAAAATGCTGGAAGAATTACCACCAGCTTTTTTTCCTATGATTCATCTGGTACGTTTGTGCTAAAGCAGACTTGATTATCTTGCGCTTTTGGTTTTTCCTCTCTCTTGTCATGATTTTTTGATCATGTGGATTAGCAGTAATGTTTCAGAGAGAGGGGGGTCACTGTGAGACTGAAAAGGCTGTTGGATTCCACAATTAGGAATGGAATGGTTCTGTGTTCAGCTCTCTTCAGCAATGTGTTTGCTCGTTTGTTTTGCAGAGTCCTTGTTCTGGACAGAGGAAGAATTGCAGAGTTTGACTCTCCTTCAAGTCTTATTGCATCCAGAGGGATTTTTTATGGTATGGCTAAAGATGCTGGACTGGCATAACAGGAGAGCTGCTCTGTTCCATTAAAGGACTATTCATTGGGCTGTGTTATTTTTACTTCAAAATAGTATCCTGAATGAACTGTGTTTTTTCAGTGCAGGAATCTCTATCAGATTTTAGTGATAGAGAAGCAAAACTGTTTCATATGACTGAGAAACAGAAAATGTTATTTTCTATTTTTAAGTATATTTTCTACATATTTTTTAATTGACAAGCATCCTAAATAATTGGATGCAAGTAAGTATGTATGCATAGCTGTATTCTATTTCATTTCTAATAAATTACATCTGATAATACAGAAACACTAAAATATTCCTCTTTGAGTTAGCTTTTTGTTAAGTGGAAAGAATAAAAGAAAAAGTAATTTAAAAAATATATATTATTTACAACTCATCTAATAAAACCTTTCTCAGCACCTACAACTTCAGAGCCTAACAAACATAGTCTCCTTTGATTGACTTCAGCCACTGGTGACTTTGTGGTCACATCCCTATAGTTTCTTTGACAACAGTAGGAAAGTGTGCCATTGCATGTACTGGAATACTTTTTAAAATTTCCCCATCTAGCCTATAGTCCTAAGATTTCCTAGTGGTCTGCCATCCATGTATTAACCCTGTTTAGCTTTCAAGATCAGTAAAAGTTGGCCGTCTAACACAGTTGATTTCCACCAAAAGTCGTTTCTACAGTTTCTGGTAGATGTATCCTTCTAACAGGAGAAATTCCTACAAAAGTCCTCCAATTCAGCAAGAGGCATTACCTTTAGTAGAGACTTCAGAATTCCTATCCTTAACTGGATGAGAAATTGTGGATATGTAGTTCCTCTTGAAAGCTGTGTGTGTGTGTGTGTGTGTGTGTTTAAAGGAAATAGTTCCTGTTTCTAGTGGACATCTATTTTAAAGGTGGCACCTGAAAAAGGATTTAATTTCTTAATCTCAGATCATAGCTGGGGGCACAATTGTTAAATCAACTGGAACTTTTAATTAATAACCACTGCAGCTCTTTTTTCTTTATACATTTCTCCATGTAATTAACCTCAACCAAAAAGCTGTGCATTTAATCTTGGCATAGCATGGCAAACAATAATGAATAAATTTTTAAGGCAAAAATGTTAATTCAAAATTTAACTATTAGCTAATCTTCCACAATAAAGCTAGCACACTATTATTATTCTGATTTACATTTAAGATAAAAAAAGCAAATCACTCTTTTATGGGTAATAACATTTTATTAACTGTAAAAAGGATACAACCCATAAGAAATAATATTAGACCTAAAACATGTAGGTAATCCTTTATTTTAACCAAGTTATTCATGTAACAATGCAGGAAGTCCTGAATTCTTTATATCCACTGATGTCAAGAATTACTCAATAGATTAATTAATATTTTGGTTAGCAAAGCTAATAAAATCATCTGTTATAAATTGCAGAAGTTATACAATATAAAAATATTTCTCTGAGTGCATAGAAAGATGTCAGCAACTGTGCATTATGATCAGTGGATTTGTAATGTATTTATTAAAACAATGATTATTCAGCAATTGATGTTGATACCTGCTTGTAAATGAGAAGCCTAATACACTTCCAACACTTTCCAAACATAATGGGACATTTTTAAGCATGCTGATTCCATCCTAGATTGTGGCCTCTTTTAGTCATTTCCTCCTAAAAATGCTGAAATTTGTAAGCCAAATTTTATATCTGAAACAGTGTATTTATCTTCCCAGATTTCAAACTGCAGCCCTTAATAAACTCTGATTTTAGTTGGGCTCCTGCATGTTTTACACTTTCCAGGATTAAGTCCTGAGCCTTTTAAACTTCAACAGAACTGGACAGTTAAAACTGTTTTAAGTCCTAATATGTCCATTGCAAACTTGATCAATGGCAGTAGTTCCCTTTCATTTATCTGTGATTTAGGAGGATTAAATCCTTGCAGTCATCATGATAGAATATGGCTTAATCTCCAACATTTAGGCTGTATCAAAAAAATGGACCTATTGCCATCAAGTATTTCACTGATGTGAAGTGTTTTCTGTTCTAAGAGATGGCAGGGGCTCCAAACTCAGTTGGTATTGAATATGTCAGTTTATTAGGTCCTGAATTAGGCAGATGGATATTTAAGCTGACAAAATATCTAAAGACAGCATCTTTGTTTATTGAATCAAGACTCGGGAATACTTACATCAGAAGTTGTAACCTTGAGACAATACTGCTCTACACAAACACGAAGCTGAAGGATACTTCAGCTATGCACCCTCAATAACCATCTCCGATTGTCACAAATCAGTTGGTTTTCTCTGTGAAGCTGCAAACTCCAGTTCCCAGGAAAATCAAAGACCCTGTTATTGTTTAAATTATGACCTATTCTAGAGTTAAATATGGATCTCTTTCAATCTGGCTACCTCTTTGAAGCATGTAGAAATAAATTCAGAAAGTCATCCCAGAACTATTTAAATGGTTTAGCGGTTAAACATTTTAGTAAAAAATGCTTTGCCTATATGATCTATCCATTTTAATATAGTATCAAACTGGCATTCCAAATACTGTTCATTATCTTTAATCTAACCAAACCATGTCTTACTACTTTCTTTATAAAATTTCTAGCCTACACTTCCAACATTAAAGCAATTCCAAAGGGAGTTACTTAAAATCAAAAGTTGTTTATATAGACTGATTGTTCATCAACTTTAAGCTGCCTTCATAAAAGACCCCTCAGGTTTTAAAGATATAATTAATCATCAAGTGTTATCAATCACTGTGATTCTTTGATGCCATTTTGAAAGCAGAGGTGGGCAATATTTGGGAAAGCTGCAAACTCTGCCTCCCCCACTTATGATTTTGGCTGGCTTTTTAGGGTTTGGGGTAGTCTTAGGAATGGAAATGGATTTCCCTATCCCATTCCCATTTTGAAGGAAGAAAAAACTGTGTCACTGAAATTTGATCATTTTGGTACTAGAAGGCAATGTGATCTCAGTGATGGAGGAAGGAACATCAGCCTGTGGATTACCTACCTTTTTCAGCCCCATCTTAAATGGATCGTGTGACCAATATGGGCCAATGAAGGTAAATGATATTTTTCCTTCAATACATTTGTCAAAAGCATGAAAGGAGGAGATGAAAATGCAGAATTCAAGAACTTCAACTTCTTTAAAAACCCTGCCCAGGATTAGAAAAAGTCTTAAGCTACTACTAGACAGCTACCTTTCTCCCCTGGTAAATCAAGCTGAGCAAGCCTCTTCATAATGATATATAAATGGGCTGTTTGAGAAAACACTGTACCTAAGTACACAGAGGAGCTCTCCTTTCCAGACTGCTCCTTCTAGGATCTAAAAGGAGAAAAGTGACACTGAACACATTTTGCCCCTGTAGATTTCCAAGAATTGATTCTATAAAACAGTGTTGCTCAACCTTAGCAATTTTCAGATAGGTAGACCAACTCCCAGAATGCTGGCTGGGGAATTCTGGGAGTTGAAGTCCACCTATCTTAATGTTGCTAAGGTTGAAAAACACTGCTATCAAACCTGTTCAATCAGTTTTACCAGCAAGTTAGATTCAGGCAGAAGTAAACGAAAGCAGTCGGCACAGAACAGAGGGCTATGGTCCTATAGACCATCCAGCTCCCCACTTAATGGAAGAAACCTAGATCCACAAAGTTCTTTCTGGCTCTGCTTCTCAAAAGCAATTGTGGGGGGTGGCAGGTAGACAAGACATAAGAATCTCTACCTTCCCTTCTCCAAGGCACTCTTCCTCCCCACTCCTTTTTTAAGGTAGCGTGGAGGGGATAGAACTGGAAGACTGAGATAGCTAAGCAGGAGCAGAAGAACTTCATGGTTTAAATTTCCTCCTGCAGACCTCACAGTATAACTCTTCCTACTCTGAAGAAATGGACTGAATCAATTTTCCAAATTTGTGATTTAAAGCCCTGCAAATGTGATCACAACTCAAAACTTGGATAGATAATTCTGGCATTTTTTTTTTCCATTGGGTATTCTAAAAGCATTACAAAAGTTACTTCTTTCAGATCTGCCTTCTCTAGTACTGGGTCAGATTTTGTTCAGAAACCAATGGCTCAAATTTAGGTTCACAGCACTTGTGAACACATTCCTGAATCTGTAAACAAGGAACATTGACATTAACAACTGAAATTAGCAATTAAATACATCTGTTAAATCCTAACTGCCTAGATAGCTACATAGTCCATCTATATTATAGCATGTAGTCATTGGACTATAGATAAATGAATTGATATCAATCCACTAGTTACACAGAATCCTAAAACTAGGTTAATAATTTATTCTTAAGAGTAGTACCATGTCCCATGCTTTTCCATACTGTTTATTCTAGGATTTGGCATCAGAATATTGATATAGAAATTGAACTAGCAAGATGATGAAAAGCTTAGACATACCTATATGAAATGCAAGCAACACTGTCAAAAATGCATAGAAATTCCAAGATTTAATATTATTTATCTTGCTATTAAAATATTTCTGCTATCTAAGATGCTACAAGCTTTCCTTTAAATAGGTGACAGTTTTAAAGAACCTGAGGATAAATAGGATAAAAAGGAGAGGCGGAAGGAACTTGTGCTAATTTTGTCTGTGAAATCAGGCTACGGAGTGGACATCCTGATCGTTCCTCAGGAAATCTCTCAGGCATAAATAGAGAGGAGGAAAGCAAAGAAGGAAAATCAGTCCAAACAGTACCAAACATTCTGCATTATTTACTGCCAAGCAGTTCTTGGTTATACATACATACACAGAGTTTTGGTTAACACTATATTTAAAGTCTGGATTAATACAGTAAAGAATATTTTATCTGAGCACCATTTCAAAGAAATCACAGCTGATTTAACTATTTGACTAGATTTTTAAACCAGTCAATGTACTTCTCTCTGAAATACAAAGTTTCCTAAGAACATTGGCAGCATTCTATGTTGCAGTGTATCAACAAGTGGAAGGATCCACTTCTTCCATTTCCAAATTGTACAGCCCTCTGTCTCTTACAGATGCTCTCTGATGCTTTATCCCAACAGGAAGAGTAAAGTTAGCAAAACAGGTTTTCCTCTGGGATCACAGCTTGCCTCTAACAGCACTGGCTGCTCCTCTTGCCATCAGCAAGGGCAGGACACATCCCACTTACATATTTGCAAGGTGCTGTTGCCAAAGAATGTGAATGTGTATTCGTGTGATTACTGTTAAGATTAATTTTGATTCAATAGGCCAGTCCACATTTCTCCTTGCTCCTTCCTGTAAAAGTATCTCAGTTTCTCAAATTGCACATTCAAATCAAGTTAGACAACTGCATTTGAAATATCCTGTTACCAGCATTAAATGCATTCCAAGTTTGGTCTTTCAATGTATTGCGCCTCCTTTTTACTAAGTAGCAATTATTAGAACAATTTATTTATTTCCCTGAGAACTTATTATTTTGTTGTATTCCAAGAAGAAACAATTTCCTTTCAAGAAAGATCATTCATGGAAAAAGACAATGTTCTGTTTAATATCCCATTTCAGAATATTGTTACACTTATCAGTTTATGAAATGCAGTCACCACAAATGTGACATCATCATCTTTAGCATATTAAACTAGAAACAAGTCCAACTGTTTCAACTGATCTTGTTTTCAAAGACATATGCTCAGTCACTTAATTCTACTTTTCAAGGTACAGTAGAAGTTAATGTTATAGCCCTTAGAGCGTCCTGGGTTTAACAGTTAAATACCAGAATGAAACTTTTAATTCAACAATTAGTAAGTTAGTTTTGATGCTTTCTTGTTATAACAAGGCCTTTCAGTCAGTGTTGGTGCTGCATTTTTAAACATAAAGTCATTATCACTCATCATCAGAACAAGCTCCAGTTCTTGGAAATCTTGAAGCCTTGAGATATCCTTGTCCTTAAAGAAATAAACATAGAAAATTAGAAACAATGCCTGCACTCACCACAAGGCACATAGGAATAAAACATCTGACCATTTTTCTCATGACCTGCTTGGCTGGAACAGAGACCTCTCTATTTGGCCAACTTTTACATCTTCCCCTCCTTAAACTCTTTTAATTCAAGTTAATCATCGGTTTTTCTTAGTGATATTTTTAATTATACTTCTGTGTATTTGGGTTTTTTAATTTTATTTTAACTGGAAAGTTATAAGTAGCTTGGAGTCTTGTTGGAGTGCAGCAGTCTAGAAGAATATTAAATAAAATAATTAGAAAAACATTGTCTGTTATTTTCCTCTTTCTGTCCCCTTCTCCTCTTGTGTCATTTGTAAGCCTGTGAACTTGGATTTTCCATTTTTTAGGATCTGTGAAATTTATAATAAGTTTTAGGTCCTTTATAAATAAAAAGATCAGGTTGTTAGGAAATTGCACTTAGTTCCTCCTGAAATCAGTCTGAAAAAGTTAGTTGTGATTAAATGAATTTCCATTAAGTTTTCAGCTAACTTAATTTGGAGCCAAAACAAATGTCAGTCTTAACCTATGGTGATTCTAGATTACAAGTGTAATAGGAGTTGGAAAGAAGTCACTGACGTGAGTTTTTGATGGTAAAGCATTGGGACATAACCAAAAAAGGGTAGATATGCAGAAAACAGTTACAGTGAATGCCTTTGGGGCTCAGTTTCAGTTCTCTGATATGGTCTTCTTACAAGTTACGAGCTTTATCTAGAAGTAGCTGCGTGCAAGACCTAAAAGGAGCCCTGACAAGAACCACCATATAAAATATCTCCAGATACTACTGAAGGACAACATTCCTTTAAAAAGTGGGTGGCACAAATATAGCTTAATCTGCACTAGGCAACACAGAACAAACAGATTGTGCACATGTCAATCCTTCTCCCATCTCTGCTAATTTGCAGCCACGTCTGCATGTCAATCCATTTCTCTGAGAAGAGTTGCTCAGAATTTTATGCACACAGCCTGCAACATTTAGCATGCCCACAAATCCCTTACAGTGTTCAGTGAAAATAAAACAGAGCTTGAGCAGAGCAAAAGAATGTAATATTTATGCATAACAAATCCAGTCTCATAAAAAAAGGAATGTTTACTGAGATTGCATCCAAATCTTTCAGCTTTTAGGCACTTTTATGGGAGAATTCCATTTCTAGACTTTATAAACTGAGGTTCTACGTATATCAAAGTATTTTGGACACTGACATTTGGCGTTATCACCAAACATTATGAACTCCAAAGTCACCATTGATCACTAAAGAAGAAATAAAGTCCACAAGTAATCTATTACATTGGTATTTAATTAATCCATTCTTGTGTTGGTCATAAATGCCTCAGTATGTGCAATTAATTACGCAATCTTGAACATATTGATTTGTTTCCCAAGGCAGCAATTATACATAAAATTCAACCTTAGGCTTCTTGTAATGATAAAATGCAGTATTACCTAGTTTAAGAATGACAAAAAGACCAACAGAGCAGTCATATATATGATTATTGAAAAGTAAGACCTAATAAGTTAAAAGGGGTTTCCCCCCACATAAGCAAGTATCAACATACTGTACAGACTCCTACACCCACCCATCCCCACATACAGTATATACTCCTCCTAGCACTTAAATATGTAACTGCAGAACCTGAGATTCACTAAGTGAAATGCAGCTCTCCAGCCAGACATTTTGGCTAGACCAGCCAAATGCTTCTAGGTTTATGCAATCCTCTTGTGATTTCAAAAGCGAGGCAGTTGTGAAATACTAAACAGGCCACAATACATACCTGCTGGACTGGACTGCATTTTGCTTAGCAAGTGATAAATTCTCCAAGCCAAGCATAACTAACATGAAATAAAACAAGGTACCTTTCTTAACACAGTATTTGGAAGCTTTCTGATTTTCTCCACATGTTCGGGGTTAACTCCCAATTCACAGCAGCTCACCCTAAGCAGTTCTTTGTAAGTCAGTTCTTGTCGATCCAATTCAATTTCAATGAAGTCATTCTCCTTCAGGGTACGATTTTGAATTCTGACCTTAAGTACTAGTTCTAATTGAAATACACATAATAGTAACAGCATTGTTAATAAAGACATATAGCAGTTTTCTCAGTCTTAATTCCACTTTTAAAATTTGCCCTATTTATTCTGACAAGGACATGCCAGCGAGATTCCCGGAACAATACTACACCATAGAAAGCAGGCAGTGGGAACTTGTGGCCTTCCAATGAACCCTCCATCCCTCACTCTTGGTTGTGGTGGCTAGCAATGCTGGGAGTTGTGGTTCAGCAACATCTGGAATAATCAGAGTTTTCCCACCCTTGATATATGGAAAAATATGTGGGTGGTAGAAGTTGTATTTGTGGCCATAACGTCCATGGTATAAAAGCAAGCATTGATCATGTTGTAAAAGCAAACCTGATTCTTTTGGTTGGCCCAATTCACAGATTAACTTTTGATGGCTTATCATAGGAGCTACATGAGCACACAACTCACACAAGAAAATGTGGACCATACAGGGTAGTGCTTGACAAGCACAGGATCCTAATTATTGTGGGGTGGGGATGGGGGTGAATCATCCTTTGATTGTTAGGCTAACTCTGTTCTTAGTAGAAAAAAGGTCGTATTTCAGAAATGTGACTCAAATTTAAACAACATTAATAAAGACTTAAGAGGGAAGGGGAAAGGGGAAATCACTGCAATGAATCATTGCAACTTTGACAGCCTTCAGTTTAGAAGTTGGTCATAAATGTTTTATTAAAAGCCCTGAAAATGGTGTTCCTACAGAGGATGCTAGTTATCTTAAATGTACAGCATTTAATACCAATATCATATCTATCAAATACACAATAGTATAGTTATCCTTTGATAACAGAAATCATGTCACATAGAGCTCAGATTTTAAAATGGGCTTCCCAAAGAAGTTTAATTTTAGCTAAAACTTTCTTTTAGTACCAACTTTTTACAAGATGTTATTGCTTGTATTATTTTCCTTTTTCAAAAAATCTGGATTTTAATCTTAGATTTTTAAGATTTTTAATTATTGTAATTAGTCTTGAGCTTGCAACACAACAAAAAAGCAAGCTGTAATATTTTATAGACTGGATCCAATTTCCCCCCTTTGTGCCAGGTGCAGATTTTAGATGAGGGACATTTAAAAGCAGTGAGCTGAACTCCATTTTCCTTTCGGCTATGGGATCCAATTCATAAATAACCTGTGGGGTAGCAATTAAAGAATTGGATTGCAACTGGGAGACCCAGATTCAAGTCAACACTTAGTGATGGATATTCACTGGATGTCTTGGGGTCAGTCACTTCCTCTAAGTCCAACCTAGCTCCCAGAAGAGAGCTCCCCATGATAGCTGCTTTGACTTCTTGGGGGAAAGGTACGTAAATCAAAACAATAGACATTAAATAAATATAACCAAAATTATTACTACCTTCTGTCAGGAATGCTTCCAGCAAAAATCACTGCAGCCAGGTAGTCACAATGGTTATAATTGCTATCTTTATTTTTTAAAAAGTATGGTTCTTTTTTTTTTTGTCAAAAACTAGTGGCATGCATTGAAATGACAAAAGCGATAAAACATAGAATGTAACACCCCCATAAATATACTCTGATTAATTTGGGAGGTCCAGAATCAATTCAGATTAGTAGCTGTGGAGTGACTTCTCATGCTAAAAGATTATATTAAAGTGCTAGGCAAAGCATCTGAAAAAGATATTTCATAACATGGATTAGTGCACACAAAATAAACTTCTTTGAATCACTAAGCAGCTGGTTGCCTGTGCACCAAGCATGTATAGCTTTCAAAGCAGCCAGGCCAGCCTTGCAAAAAATATGCCTCCTCTTTGAAGGAAGGTGCTTTGTTAATGCCTACAGGTGTTATAAAGCACTTCTTCTGAATGTTTCCCACAGTCCTCTTATACAGAACTGCTTACCTAACAAATGAGGCACTGATACAAATTCTGTAAATCTAGATTAGCCATCTCCCTCTGTGGATACAAACACACTTGAGCTAGCAGTATCACAGAAAAAGGTGTTCTGAGGTGAAGCCTAACCCTGATTGACTCCCATATACATTTAATATAAGCCCTGAAAAAAAAATCTGAATACACTGATTCTGCTTACATATTTGCCTGTTCAGTGGGTTCCCAATCATGGAGACAGAGCTCACATACACAAGCTTTTTTCCTTTCTAAGCTCTTTCAGGCATTACGCCAAATATGCACAGAGATCAGAACCAGAAGCTGTGAGCATCACAATCCCCCTTGCCTTTTGATGTACATTCAGATCGATGTATGAATATATGAATAATTTTGAAGTGAAGGTTTTCTCAACCTGTCACAAAAAAGGAACGAGAAACCCTACTGAATTTTACTTATAGTTACCTGAAAGATCTTATCCTGACTACAACCATTTACAGCAACAGGAAAAAAGCAGCAAAAGTTCCAAATGAAGAAAGATTTTTTTTTAAGTTTTGCAATATCCTAATGAGGTATGTACTTAAATTGTCTGGAAAGTATACAGTTTCTATACATAAGGTTACCTTGCATATTATTGAAGGGAATTGCTCCGGTAAAGAAGAAGGGCTGAAACGTTGGGACAGCTCCTGTATAAGGGCCACTGGATTGCTGAGTTTCTGGTTGTATAGATCCAGCTGGGGAACAGTGTGTCCTACTTGGAGGAACAGAGAGCTGGTGAACATGACCATTCTGAACTACAGGCTCCAGGCATTCTATAGCAATTGCCTTTGTCACATCTCCATCACATCCTACAGGAGAAGGCTTTCCATGTTGCAACATTGCAGTGCCAGATGTTTGTACTTGAGGCAAAGAAACTGGAGAGTCCAGGTTGTGTTGCTGTAAAGAAGGAGAAAGTCTTCCATTCAAAGAGGAAGCTGAGGTGCTCGTAGTGCTATTACTCATGGAGTTATAAACATAAGGAAAAGGCGGGTTAGATAAGTAATTTGGGATAATTGGCAAGGCAGAATCTTTCTTCACATCCAGAAGCTCATCATCGTCTTCCACTACAGAAGAAAAAATGGTTTAGTTACAATATGTACATAAAAAATACATGTTGTTATTTATTGTTTAACCACAAAAGTTACAATAACATAAAATCCTTTTGAGAAAATAGATATTAAAGTATACAGCACCCAATTATAATTGTACGTAATATAGGGCTTCATTTTTAGCCAATTAAAATTCAGCAGTCCATATCTGATTCTTGTATTTCGCATCTGAAAGATCCACATAGTCACATTATTAATAATTCTACTCAATTATCTAAGGCCACAAAATAAAAAGACCACAAAGAGACCACATTAGGGTTTCAGTAGAGATTCAATCCATCTCATTGGCATTCTAATATTCTATGAAATATTGGGATTGTCAAATTATATTTTACCTCCCAACATCTTCCTAATTTCCCTTTTGGATGTTAACTGGACTGCTTTTTCTTCTTTAACAGTGAGAATGTCTTTATCTGCGCCAGCATCTATCAGGTACGACACCACCTGAGCATGGTTTCGTTTGCAGGCCCAGTGCAAGCAAGTCCTGTACAAAGAAAACATACAGACTTACTAAGAAGTTTTATTATAGGAAAAGGGAAGAAGGATGACCACTTCCCTTCCACTAAGCAATTTTGTCACAATTTAGATATACTTATAGTGACATCTACTGGAGAACCCTCAGGAAACAAAAAGACGGTGCTAGAAATGTCATGCTTTCATCTTGGGTCTTCAAGTAGAAAGGATAATATATTTTAAGTTTTCCAATATCTGAGGCACACTCTGCATTTTCATCCCACCCCAAATGAAGATTAGAAGCACACTTCACCCCAGAAGATTTGTTTTTATCTTGACCAATCAAAGTGTTAGTTGTACCGGCAATGTGAAATGCTCACATATAAGTTACATATTGCAAACAGAAGTCACTCATTAATTGGTCAAGATGCAATTATCTTTTTCAGACAGATTTCTTACTCACTGCAAATCAGTTATTCTCAGTTCAACAATCTCAGACTATGTTAGACTACAAAGTGTTATACTGCTGGGAATTCCCTTTCCCAAAGTAAACCCTCAACGTTTGAGCTGACTGTTAATACATATGTTGGTCCTGTATCAAAATATTTTAAAGTAAAATGACTTTTGTTCCACTCAGTCAGCCATGTCTTCCTCCAGAAAGTTTCATTCCACTCCCCAACCTGTATTTTTGCCTTTTTGTCCCCCCTCCTTTTGTCCACATTTCTTAGATTCTGTAATGTACATGCTTCTTAGTGGTCTCTTTCATCATTCTCTTTCCTTATTCTTTTCTCTAAAGGTATTTGGATTTAGAGGTTCTTCCACGTAAACCAGTACCTTGCTGATGGACACAGGTTATGCTACTTTAGCTAGACAACTGTTTGGAAACAGAAGGACTAAGGATAACTACAGTATCTGTCAGTCCAATGCAATAATGCCTCCAGCAACTTTGCTCCTTTTCAATCAGCCTCCACCAGGGATAAGTAAAATAGAAGAGAATATCTGTAGCTCAGGGTTGAACTGTGCAGTCCTTGGTGCTCTCTGAGCTTGGTTGTTTGCTTGCAGACATTTCATTACCCAACTAGGTAACATCATTAGTGCGCGTGAGTTTAGGGTTTGGTCCTACATACAGTATATACAGTAGCTTGCTATGAGGTTGTAATAGTCTGTTAGTTGTTTCT